TTATGCAAAATATGATGTCCGAGACAGTGTGGGATTCTATGAAACACAGACATAGAAGATTACCTCGAAAACATGGTAAACTTTATATGGTCACAGCTGTACAAATCCGTTTATTACATAAACCTAATATATCTTATTCTAATTTTGTATTTTTCTGTTCAACCTTCTCTGCAATTATCGACGTACATATCACAATGATAACAGATGTATTGTATCGCAGAGACAAAGCACAATGCATTTCTTCAGACACATATATGTACCTCATTTCACTCTTAAGAAACAGTTATTTTTTTTCTTAACCTTTCTTTTTGTGCATTCTTTGATTTAGCTCGGTACATAAATATACATAATGATTTTCGTAAAGGGATGGTTCAGCACGAAATTCATTTTTTTTGTGTGTGTGTTCCTTATTTACATTAACTGTATCTTTATGTGTCATTATTTTTTCTTTATTCACATTTACTTTATTTGTAGGTGTTGATAAATACATAACTTATTCATGTACATTTTGTATACCATTTGTTTGGTCAATATATTTTTGCTATCCCGGTTAAACAATAATTTCTCAGGGACTTTACATTGCTTCCATACGTTTTCTTGTCATGTACATTGTAAGTTAAATTTACCAGGAACAAAAACACTGTTCACTTGTAAGGAGGGTCGTGTACAGTTTAACATCTATTTATATAGTGTATATATATGTAAATAATAAATGGTGAAGAATATGGAATCTCTCCTTAATCACATGCACACGTTCATCAAAATTATCAATACGGTATCACCAGAAGAAATATTTTTTCCCCGCGAAATAAATTATTATTTATTCTGTATACTAGGCCATAAGTTAGGGACTATAATTTCAGAGTGAAAATTCTAATCAATATAAATCAGTATGGTTGTACTCCTTGCAGCGTCTCCTTTTGCGCTCGGTGACGATTGCCACCAAGCGATACACCCAGCTTAACGATAGCATAGATTAAACAGGGATACCCCGTAATCTAACAAAACACAAGGTTGTCACCTAAAGCAGCGTTTGCTTGTGTATTATTGGCAAATCAGATATGTGCTCATAATTTATCTAAAAATGGCACGTTGGAAATTGACATGCTGAAAGACGGTAAGCTTCTGGAATGGTTCAATACGGTGTTACGAACAGGCCAGTAACTGCACGTTGTAATGTCAGCCATTGTTATTTCTCGGATAATGCAGCGTCTGAGCCAATCAGGACATGTCGACGAGCATCCCAGATCTTCCAGACCTCGAAAGACACAGATAGAGAAGAACAGACAAGGCGAGCCCCAGTCATCACTGCTAACAAGCCTAGAGGATGTTGTAACGTCAAGATCGGTTTAGGAGACGTAGCGAAAACATATGTTTGAACAATAGACGGTTCCGCTCACACCGACCAATAAAACGTCCTCTGTTAACTGGGAGGCAGAAACAAACAAGACCGCAATGGGCACGTGATCACCGGACATGGATTATAAGGTCTTGATGAAGAGTCATCTGGTCTGATTAAAGTCACGTTTTATTTATTCCGACAGACGGCCGGGTCCGCGATTAGAAACCAAGAAATACAGCATACTATTAGAATCACACTGTGCCCGCAACTGTGAGTTTCGCTTGTATGTCCTCCATGGAACTTTAAATGGGCAGAAGTACCGAGATCAGATCCCTTGATCTTACGTTGGATGGCATTGTAAAACCTCAACGAGACGGAGACGGACACAGGAATTGTACCAGGACAGTGGTGACTCAATTAGACGGCGACGCACAAGGGAATTGTACCAGAATATTGGTAACTCAATGAACCGACGATGGACACAGGAATTGTACCAGAAGGGTGTTAACTCAATGAACCGACGACGGACACAGGAATTGTACCAGAAGAGTGTTGACTCAATGAGACGGCGACGCACACAGGAATTGTACCAGAAGAGTGGTGACTCAATGAGACAGCGACGGACACAGGAATTGTACCAGAAGAGTGGTGACTCAATGAGACGGTGACGGACACAGGAATTGTACCAGGAGAGTGGTGACTCAATGAGACAGCGACGGACACAGGAATTGTACCGGAAGAGTGGTGACTCAATAAGACGACGACGTTCACAAGAATTGTACCAGGAGAGTAATGGCCCAATGACACGGCGACGCACACAGGGATTGTACCAGGAGAGTGTTGACTCAATGATACGGCGACGGACACAGGAATTGTACCAGGAGAGTGTTGACTCAATGATACGGCGACGGACACACGGATTGTACCAGGAGAGTGTTGACTCAATGATACGGCGACTGACACAGGGATTGTACCAGGAGAGTGTTGACTCAATGATACGGTGACGGACACAGGGATTGTACCAGGAGAGTGTTGACTCAATGATACGGCGACGGACACAGGAATTGTACCAGGAGAGTGTTGACTCAATGATACGGCGACGGACACACGGATTGTACCAGGAGAGTGTTGACTCAATGATACGGCGACTGACACAGGGATTGTACCAGGAGAATGTTGACTCAATGATACGGCGACTGACACAGGAATTGTACCAGGAGAGTGTTGACTCAATGAGACGGCGACGCACACAGGGAGTGTACAAGGAGAGTGTTGACTCAATGATACGGATACGGACACAGGAATTGTACCAGAAGAGTGTTGACTCAATGATACGGCGACGCACACAGGGATTGTACCAGGAGAGTGTTGACTCAATGATACGGCAACGGACACAGGAATTGTACCAGAAGAGTGTTGACTCAATGATACGGCGACGCACACAGGGATTGTACCAGGAGAGTGTTGACTCAATGATACGGAGACGGACACAGGAATTGTACCAGAAGAGTGTTGACTCAATGATACGGCGACGCACACAGGGATTGTACCAGGAGAGTGTTGACTCAATGATACGGCGACGGACACAGGAATTGTACCAGAAGAGTGTTGACTCAATGATACGGCGACGGACACAGGAATTGTACCAGGAGAGTGTTGACTCAATGATACGGCGACGGACACAGGAATTCTACCAGAAGAGTGTTGACTCAATGATACGGCAACGGACACAGGAATTGTACCAGAAGAGTGTTGACTCAATGATACGGCGACGGACACAGGAATTGTACCAGGAGAGTGTTGACTCAATGATACGGCGACGGACACAGGAATTGTACCAGGAGAGTTTTGACTCAATGATACGGCGACGGACACGGACACGGAAATTATACTAGAAGAATGGTGGCTTTACCCGAAACTAACAGTTGCATACACTTTCAAAAAAATAAGTGACATGTCAATATGATCATAATCCAAATTCTAATTCTATAAAACTAAGTCAAAACATGCACAAAGCAAAGATTAACATGGACTCTTGTAAAAAATACAAGGAGAGTTATTCTTCCTGACCAAACAACAGACTTTGGTGATTTGATGACATATCTGTTAATATGAGACAGTTACACTTTTTCCAGACTTTGGAAATGCCTATTTTGGAAGCTCTTTTTAAAACGATACAGCACTTCCGGTTCTGTGAATTTAATTTCCTATCGATTATAAATCATTAGATGTGTAGAAAAGAACAAAACATTCCTGTATATATCCTGTTGAGTTTTCATGGAACTTTTTTTCTGAAACAAAACGAACAAAATTAAGCCCATTCCAAGATATGGTTGGTCCCTAACCTATAGCCGAGTGTATATGTTATGATATATGATAATGCATTTAACACTGTCCAATACGATTTTAAACTACGAGTATCATAAAACATTAAACCTTGGAAATTCTCTGTATTTGCGTCAGTAAGACCAATATGTTGCATACCAGGAAAGACAACTCGTACTCATCACCGTGATATTTTGAGTAGCACCTGTTGCGTTAACGTGTAATTATTCTAACCATTCAGTTGAAATAAAATACAAACTTATGATAAGAATGTTGATATGCTACACTTATTAAGGGGTGTATATGAGCCAATAGATATACATGTATTTATTCGGAGACTTAAACCTCGTATGTGGCTGTTTCCTTTGTTGATGTCGGCAAGTTTAAAAAAAAAATCACATTTCAAAATTATATCAATGATCACGTCGCCATACTAATTCAATGTTTACTAGCAAGTTACACATCGATATATACTGTCATATCACATTTCAGAAATCTGAGACGGATGAACATTGATTGATTCTAAAACGTTAGAAATGATTATTGTATGCTTTTGCTATAAAATAGAGGGATTACTGAAAATTATTTTCTGTTACGGAAACTAGAAGACAGTTTCAATTTGTAAACGTTGTAAACGAACAATAATTTCACTAAAATATAATTATACCTTTCTTTGTCTACATTTTTTAACATTTCGACTGCAATGTACTGATATATAATCACAGCACAGTCATTTCGACACTGGCTTCTTTTAATTACATTACTAAAAAGTTAAAATCTTCATATAATTTTGCTATAACACGGCGAGTGACACATCATTTAAAGCTTACGGCAGTGATATGGGTAGAAGTGTTGTGTATTACGAACTCACAACACAAGGTTTCGAGAGGCGTAGGTTGATGAAGATGGCGGAAAGATGTAAAGTTGTCTTAATGATATCAAAGATATATCTATTTCCTTGTATGATATGACGTTGTTCTTGATTTACACTTGTTAGTACATGTATATTGGTGGTTCCATTCTTTTCTTAACTTGTTCTCGTTCGGGAACGTGATGTTATCTACTTGGATTGACCAAAACTTATAAGGCGGGTGTAGTCAATGAAGCAGAACACACTTACATTTCCGGAACACATATTTCTTATTCTCCGTGTTCTGATTTAGGAGTCTCCATTTAAATCTTTCTTCTTTTTATATTTTGCCCAATTTTTATCGAATGATAGTTTAAATTCAGCTTTAGTTGACATGTAGGTGTTTTTTTATGTCATTAAAGACGGACAAGATATTCACAATGATTTAGACAATTTTATCAACATCTTTGTTACATTACAGGTATGGCGACGTTGGTAGAGAAACCCCCTGACCTTGGGTCTGACATCGAGTCCAAATCGCCCATCGATGTCGACATCAATGATCTCAAGGGCATACAGGTGAAAGAAGCCAAGTTCGGCAAACATGGGGTCCTTCAAATAAAGAATACAACAGCAATCCACGTGACTACGCCGATGATTCCCGAGGCTATCGTAAAAACAGAGAAAGGGGTCATCGGGAAACCCCCAATAGTTCGAAAAAGTAAAAAGCCTGATTATCCGGATGATCGGACAGAAGGAAGGTCCACTCGTCCTGGTTCAGAAATAACGATACCGGATTCCAGGTCCCGTGATGAGAGAGATTCTGATATTGGTAATGATAAGATGAGCAGGATTAAATCACCTGCGTCTGTGCAGGTGGAGAGGAAACCACCGCCAAACAACACGCCAGCGTCACGCGCATTTTCCGACTATACACGGAACTCTGGCGGAAGTACCAAATACCATGTGATGGTTCCAGGTCAAGGTCATATCGACCCGCTCCCTTCTCCGTCCAAGCGGATGCATCAGACTAGTCGTACCCGACGAGTCCCGGCGAAGCTAATTAGACTGACAACTGTAACGTTGTCGGCAAGGTATGTCCATATATTTTATATAATTTAATTTTTCATTAATGTTTTTAAAGAATATAATTCTTTATGATACGGGTGTTGATATCGTATTTAATTTTGTCTTTTGAGAAAATCACCAAAATAGGTCATTTTTTTATACACAATACACTAGCACAGCTTCATATATAAATTGTTCTATGTTGTTAAATTATAAGTCGAAAGCCGAACAACCATTCATTAGATTTAGTATCGCTTGGTGCCGATTGACTGTTGAATCATTTCCAATAAACCGACGATATCTGACAGTGTAGGAATTTTGAATTAGTTACGTGGTGTCGGATTATGTTTGTTTAAGCTTCGCTGAATGGGAAATTCAAATTTGGAGTGCTTGATTAATTGTTCTAAGTGGTATTGCATATGTAATATGACGTATCTGTTCAGTAGCACCGACAATGTATACAAACAATTTTTGTTTGTTTATCTTTTTAATTTTCATCTGTATCTAGAGAATACATTAGTGTAAAATGGCTGATGGTCAAATCGTTCACTGATGAAAAATAACATTTCAAAACGATTCTTCTACACCATTTTACTTTTAGTAAATAATTGCGTTGTCGAGATATATTGATGTGACCTTTCATTGGACTACTTACAACACACACGTAAAATTTAATTTTGAATTGTCATGCCTTAAGGATATGTTCTTAGAATTTATCATAACAAAGAACTACTTTATCATGAATTCAGAAAAAAATAATGTTTGACTTCGATAATTTGCTTGAATAATTGCCGAATATCAATTCATATCAGCTCTCCTGTCACTCTGTAAACAATATTCCGATGTGTTCAAGACTTAAAATATATCGAGCAATACTGAAATATCGCATAAAGGGAAGTAACTCGTTTGACTTAATTTATCTATATTGTATAAAATAAAGAACAATTAAATACAATTTTTATTAACATACAATGATTCCTCTTCCTTAGATATGTCGGTATTTTGTTTTAATGTACGTTCATTCCAAACCTTTAAAAATCTTAAACTTAAAGACATGTATGTTCATTAAAATCTTTAGTCTGTTAACACTACTTAAGTAAATAGGAAACACTGTACACAAAAAGCATTACTGTAAGTGAATACATTGAATACATTTGATAAGTATGAACGAATTTCGATACAACTACACTTGTATTGTACAGTTTCACTGTGTTGACTGAGTTGTCCCCCTTATATTGATATTTCGCTCGATGTCATAAAGCAATCCATTACATACACTTACCTTAGCTTGTCTCCAGGAAACAAAAGCTGATAAATTGCTCATTTTAAAGATACCAACTGGGAAGCAAAAAATGTGTAATATTTCAATTTCAACTTAATCGGGACTCAAAGAAATTAAGCCTGTTTCATTTGTCCATTTATTTGACCAGATTTCCAATACATATTAAGTAAGGGAGATAACCATTATATATTTTTTATGTTAAACTTTAAATAAAAGTAAGCTAATTTGCTCTAGATTTTGCAGAATATAAATTGACAAAGATGAATTATAAGTAAAGTACTTATGATGTTAATAACATTTTGACATTATGATAATTTTAACAGAACAGATGTCTCTTCCACAACTGAAATATAGGCAATGAATCTTGCTTTGGTAGATTTCAAGGGGGAAATTATGTCACAAGTCAAAATATATAGATAATCCGAAAGGCTCCATTATGACACATCCAAACGTGGAATGTCTGCTGTAACCGGAAAGAAAAATGATATATAAAAGGAGAAATTTATTGTTACAACTACAAGAAATACACCATCAACATTCGGTGGTGATATACACTGTAAACGAACATATTTTGGTGATGTCATGATTTTAACGCTTTATGCACGGAAGCATTGCACCAAACTACGACTACGCTATTAGCAGTTTCTGTATCCCCTGATATTTAAACTGCGCCATATAAAGTATTTCTACAGTATATGACAATCTACTGTCGTAGTGGCTAGACGTAGTGATTGTTGGAATTATCATTAGTACAAAAGGAGAGGTGCTTATGGAGCTGTGTGCTTCATAATACTACTGGATCATTATATATCAAAATATAGAGACAATTAACTGTACATTTGTATGGCAAATCTGTCACCACACCGGTTCATATGCAAGTTAATATATATTTATGAGCATGTTCATTCATATTCATAAGTATCGTAATCATATTCACGCTTAGAATAATTCACACAAATATCTTGTTTGAAGCTTTTCCGTTGGTATCACATTGTCTATATAATCTGTTTGTTTTAAAATGTTTACAAAATCAACAAAGGAAAAACGGACATGTTAATAGAATTGTAATACAATCACAGCTTGGATATAAGAACAAACGACGACTATGCATGGACATTCTTGATGTACTATGAGGGTACGACCAAGTGTTTCGTCGATGCCACTAGCCATTTAAATCTTTGGTTAATCCAAGTAATTCATGTCACATTGTCAAGCCAGGTGAACAAGAATGAAACCAAGGTTATCTGTTTCAATGCTTACTTTCAGCACTTCACAAACATTTTTATCCTATTCGCTTACTTTCAGCACTTCACAAACATTTTTATCCTATTCATTTTTGTCTTCTGTTAAAAAAATTAATTTATCGGGTTTTTTTTTCGACATATTTTAAAGATGGTATTCGCTAATGGTTCCTTTGTACAATATTGTTTCCTTCTTGTTTTTTGGCTGTCTGTTTGTCTTTTGTCAACTTTAACCTGGCCCATAACTATAGCACCGTATGAAATTTCATATTAGGCACGTGTGTTCTTTTTTGGTGGTACCTTGACCTTCTGACTTTGACCGTAACCTTTGACCTACAATTGAAAGTAAAAAAAGTCATTACCACAATGAAGACATAAGTGTTTCACAAAGTAAGCGTGCAATTTGCAGATGCATTACACAGTACAGTTTTAATGTCCCACTTCAGAATTTTGTTGCAACTGGGGGCATAGTGTTTCATAAAAAAAGTCTTGTTAATTTCTTATTTTGGTTGGAGAAGAAAACAACACAAATGTTTGCTATGTTTAGAAGATAACAATACTTGAACATCACTGATTGGTTCACGATTCTGAACAGACTGAATACGTGTCGGTATAAGCAGTGACAATGGCGTGTACCTGTACACTGTACGTTAGATTAGTCTGGAACAAAGCGACAATCAGACAAAGGTGTGCACAGTCACAAGATAAAAACTAATTAGTTTGTCTTCCTCTCACAAGGAGTTAACTGTCCATTCATTAGTACTGTTTAATTCTAAAACAAATTCAAATCTACATTATTGTTGTATTATATATGTATTTAAAAACCTGCTAAGATCACACAGTAGTCATTATTCTGGAGAAATTAAAATATCCCTTTGGCATGCTGAGACGCGTATCTATCAATTAAGCATATATAATGCTATTCACTCCGTGAAGACAAGAGACAACCGTTCAAAATGCAATATAATTATGAGTAACCCTATCGCATAAAATATAAGTTGATTACTGTAAGGTTCTTGTCTAGGTAGCCATACTAGGGGGTAGCTTATCACCATGCCTTACAAGCGCTGCGTTGATCGATATCTTCGGTAGATAAAGCTTTAACTAATACTCCAACAGGTATATTTACATACAGGTATAGAGCCTGTCGATGTGTTTGTCCAACGTTTAATTGACGATCGTTTTGTTTGTAAGTTCATCAGCATACTACTTATCAAGGCTAGAGTACTGACAACGGTGGAGAGTTTTGTGTTTTCGTTACAATCTTTTCAATTTTTTTCTCATATCAGAAGGCATTATTCATACTGAATGGATCATATAAAATTAGGAAACTATGTTATAAATTTTAGCATGTCCTCTTATTGTGTTTACGCCATCGAACTAATTGGATATTTGTTTTAAACACGAGGAAACTGACGTCAGCAACTGTTTTATCCATTTACACGTCGTGATTGGCGAGGTAGTACGTTTCACTGTCCATCAACACTACTCTACTGAGCGTTAAAACTTTAGTGCCGATAAATCTGGACAAGACTTTACTATAGGTGCATTGTTGACGACACCTGAATTTTACATGAGATAACGCGGTACTGTATAACGATAACTGACACAAGCACTAATGCTGAGAGCTAGTAACAGGTACCAGACCAAAAGGACCAGAAGCAATTTTCTCGCGTTGACGAAACATCTCCATGGTTCGGCTCCATGTTTCCTCCTTTATTAGAACCTTCATTGAAGCCAGGCATTTGGCAATTCCATGGAAGGTAGGTACTTGGTTTTAACACAAACGAGAATTCAATAGAAGACATAACTTTTTATTTCTAGTTGAGAGCGAAAGAAAACGATTTTCACAGCTCTAACATAGATTAGAAATTCATTATATATAGAATGTTACCAGCAGGTAACAAAGTGTCACCATGACAACTCGATTTTAGACTGAGAAGAATTCTATCAGCAAATATGAACGCAGTTTGTTTAAATGGTCCATGTTGTAATTCAATGAATTAATACAATTATTTTATCAAGTAATCATTGTGAAAAAGGAATTAAAGTATACGATTTCAAGGACCTTTAATCTCCTACAAAGTACATAATGATAATTCTACCTAAATATTATATCAAGAGATTTTAGACAAATCTATGAGACTACCTTCAATGTTAATGCCAAAAATTTTGAATCCTTTAAATGGGTATGTCTAGAAAAAATGTGACTCTGGTTCGGCTGTTACATTACTGGCAGCGATGTCGGATAAACATTTTTCATAGACAATGCATTTTGACGTTTGGAAATATACACTTGTGTTAAATACTATGCATACAAAGGGGCGTCGTAACTACTATAGTATTAGGTCTTAGGGAAGTATTGTCTGACGTCGGTATGACAGATAGATCAGTGTTAAACTGATAGGTCCACCTTACATATTGTAACAAATCTTTAAGTGTCTATACGTACCTGTGTAAAGATATGTTTTGATCAATTACTGATTTAATTATCGTGGTCATGCATGATTGATCAACTGACAGAATATCGCTCAAGTGTATTTTGCATTTGATAAAAATTGCATTCTCCTGACCATAAATTATGCCGTGGAATTGTTTTAGACCTTTCAATGCCACGCATCTTTATTTGCATTGAAGTTATTTTAAACCAGTTTCTGTACGTTGATGACTTAATGTGTAAACAAGTTATTTTGAAACCAATGCAATCAAAAAGAAGTAGATCGTAGATCTGGTCATACTGGTGTGGTTGTTGTTGACATTGTTCTCATTTGGGAACACGACATTACTTGGATTTATCGAGATTTACATGGCGCGTACTGGACACCATAACTTTATAGCTGGAAAGATTTCAGTTTCTACACTTGATTTTGTCGGAAAAAAATATGATAAAAAGGAATGATTTTGATTTGACAGGAAGTGATTTATGAAATACGCCGAAATTAAAAATTCTTGTTTCATAAGTCACATATCAAATGAGAACTCAAGTAGGATCACATTTGAAAAAAAAAAACTGCTAAACGTACTGTCAACTAAAGTTTATTGTTCTAAATATCACTTTAGAAGGACAAGAGGAAAGAACAAACTGCAGAGTGTTTACCTGTATACCTGGCATATGGTGTTCACTGATATTGGTGTGAATAAAAGAGCTATTCAAATACAGGTTTTATAAAAAATAATCGGTCACAATTCGACTGTTATATCTCGGAATGTTTCAATAAAAAATAAATGCAAACTGATAAAATCTTAGCTAAAAATCAATAAAAGGTATTTCAGCATTGTGTGAATCGTGGTGATAGTCAATATATGTTTGTTTGTTCAATTTTAACAGCAATAAAACTTTTATTATTTTGTCATCGTAACCCCCCCCCCCACACACACACACGGTTATTGATCAGACGCCATAAATGGTCAATTTATGTGGTAAACTGGGGCTTCAATAGGGAGGTGCTAACATCTTGTCTATTGTACATACAGCTATAAAACTTTAAACAATCCAATCTATTAGAAAAGAAGTTTATGATTTGTAGATTTGTACAGTGTATACTACATAGGAGGTTTCGAGGTGTAAAGGCCTCTTAACGTGTCCTTCAGGTGATGTACTCTTTTTTCTGGTTGCATATTTCTTAACCACGCAGCCAAGCCGATGGGAATTTATTTGGGAAAGGGACATTACTTAGTTGAATTGTGCAAGAATTGTGTGGCAGGTGTCAACGATGAACAAGTAGAAGGTACTTACCCTTCTGGAACGCTTAATCTCCGTGTTAAGCTTTCCCTTCCTGTTTCCGTAATTTTTTACAAAACGATATGGTAATTTTTCATGCTATATAGTCTATATGAGTTTATTTACTCAATTGAATTATAGTCCAACCATTCATTGATAAACAAACAAAGAAAAATAGTCTCAAACTCAAATATTTGGGGTATTGAATTTCAAAATCATTTACTCGTCATTCGAGTCGTGCGGCTGGTATCAATATGTACAGCTCATGTTTTTTTCAAACTTGAGTGTGTGATGTAAACAATCAAAATTTGAATAACAAACAAGCGATAATATATAAGACAATTAAAACAGTTTTTTTTTCGAGTCGAATAACCAAAGTTAGATATAAATGACAACATTGAAAGTCAATGCCATGTCATGTCACGTGATGGAATGGACGAGCCGAATCTCTCAGCCGTGAACTCCGTAAATATACGCGTTGGGATATAGGTTTGTGTTATTATAAATGACAAATCAAAACGACAAAATAAGTTCAGTTAACACGGGTTCTTAGTGAAATCATCATAAGCAAACAAATTTAGATTTTAAAAAAATGTTTTTTGTAATTAGTAACCGCTGATCTACCTCACGTGCTACTTTGCGCACGATACACATACAGTAAACATGGGTGTATTGACCCGAAAAAAACCGTGTTACACAGGTGGAAAGGAAAGAATGTTATAATACCTAGCTGTGATAAAATGATTAAGCTCCTTAAAAAAACCGCTTTACGGTGATATTCTAATCAATTGTGCGTTCTCGATATACAATAAGAATCGATAAGAATCTGCAAAAAGATCACATGCTAGGATTGAACTGAAATCTGTAAAAGAAAAAATAATCATGGAAAAATTATGAAAATGGAACGCGACCATCTGTCGTCTGGGAACGCTGTTATTTTATCTATCTGATCAAAAATGATCTACACGTAACACATATTTTAGCAAACAATATGAATGGACTGTATACTTTGACAAAAACTAGTTTAAAGTATGTTAGAAAAATAATTTACATAATCGTGATAACGTCCCTTTAAACATGTAGTTTGCACATAGATTATTTCAGGCTAGTCAACTGTGATTGGTGAAGAATATTTCAGGTTATTCAACTGTGACATGTGAAGGTTAGTTCAGGCTGTGACAGGGGATGGTAAAGCACCTGACCTGTTATTTTTATGGCCGCACAGTGAAATAAACAGCGTAAAATGACTGTGACCCGACCATTATTTGAGAGCTATACAAGCCATTCCGTTTTTAAATGTCGTCTGTGAAGTCAATACATGTATATATGAATTACCAATCAAGACACTTATTTTCGTAGGTACACTAATGCATTACTGGCTTGTACATGAAAGTTTCCCTACACTTTTGTTAGCTTTTGTATATATAGCCAAAATTTTATATCGTCAAATATCGTATTTTGTTCTTAGTTAGCTCCCAGGTATTGTCTTGACATAATCACTATACGTACATTTGTATCAAGAACTTTTAATCTTCTGTTCGAAATAACTATATGTAATTGTTTTCTTAAAAAGCGATAAAACTAACAGTGCTTTTGAATAGTATTCCATATCTGAAATCCGATTAAAAATCATACTCATTCAAGTTCGGGGATATATTTATAACATTACTACTTAGGCTTGGGGAATTGATCGTACGAATCAAGATTTGAAACGAAAAATCTCTAAGATTGCATGTCAAAGTCTGCTATATACAGAATATAATAGGCGACGCACTCGCTCAGAACACTTGTGTTAGATATACAAAGGGAAATGTCGAAAAACCTGAAGCAAATGCCTAAGTTCGAAGTTGTGAATGGAAAAGGATATTTTGCTATTATTGGCGTGTCGCCTCACCGACAGAGGAGTTTCGTAGGAATACCACCTCTACAACAGATCACAAGGTAACCATCTCGTCATGCCGTTGTAATGGTTACTCTGATAAATATAACCTAGATTCATGACAGAGGCCTGAAAACGATATATTTGTTTGTCATGTTAAGTGATTAATTTTCTCTGTATACACGATACACAAAGTTTTTATCGTTTTAAATTATATATATGTATATATACATACAGTTCAGATACCCTGTTTACGACGGACACCTAGATAATGGGTAACGATTTAAATATATAGAAACAATCTTAATACTGACGTTCAGAAACCCTGTTGTAATGGAGACCTGGATAATGTGTTACTATGTAAATATATAAAATATCTTAATACTGACGTTCAGAAACCCTGTTGTAATGGAGACCTAGATAATGTGTTACTATGTAAATATATGATATAACTTAATACTGACGTTCAGAAACCTTGTTGTAATGGAGACCTAGATAATGTGTTACAATGCAAATTTATTAAAAATCTTAATACCGCTGTTCATACACACTGTTGTAATGGAGACCTAGATAATAGGTAACAGTGTCAATATACTGAATAAAGATATATATTTATTTCATTTATTTTTTTCATTGTATGAAATATACTGAAAATGACCTAGCTAATGGGAAACAATATATATATACTGAAAATGACCTAGCTAATGGGAAACAATATATATATACTGAAAATGACCTAGCTAATGGGAAACAATATATATATACTGAAAATGACCTAGCCAATGGGAAACAATATATATATACTGAAAATGACCTAGCTAATGGGAAACATATATATACTGAAAATGACCTAGCTAATGGGAAACAATATATATATACTGAAAATCTGAACACTGCCGTCTAGAAACCCTGTTGTAATGGAGACATAGATTAAAGACAACAAATGTTAATAATGCATCGTTCTTTAAGTTTAAACATTCTGTTGCTGAAGACATCAATGATTATAGGACAAACTTTGGGATGTACTGTTAATCACAAAGTATCAAGTCAGACACCGTGTTGTTATGAAGGCATGGGATTATAGGTACTATTTGAAAATTTGCTGGGACTATACCAAGATATGTAAAGGTAGATTTGGCCCTTGTTTATAAAACTTAATAAGCCATTGTTATAGGATTACTATTTGGTGCAACTCGTGAATGTATCGACGTATCTTTCAAAATGTTAAACCTACGTGTATGTTACTTCTATGGTGTTTGAAACTGTCATTACAAAAAATTATAACAACATAATGGAACAACTGAGAAGAGACACTAAAGTTTTTATGGATAAACTCAATTCTTCTTGTTCTGTTAAGTCTTGGATACTACGGGAATAGCTTTGATTTAACTTTCGTTATGTTGTCAAATGTTTTCTTGATATATTGACCATGGGATCTGTCTTGTCAATTTCTAAAATAATCATGGTATCATAGATGTATTCCACTGTGAACATTTTTTCAAAATTAAATACCAATACCATGTTTATTCCCCAATGTCTAAAATAATTACATTCATTTATATTCTTTACCGTTTCATGTCAGTATATGATATCACGCCACAGTTGCTGTTTTTGTTCACCTTTTACCTCTGCAAATCTATAAGTAACTTACTAGTTCGTTCAACATTTGAGGAAGTATACAATCATCATCATCATCATCATCATCATCATCATCATCATCATCATCATCATCATCATATATCTGAAAATGATAAATGATAACGTTGTTAGACCAATGAAGTTAAGTGACACTAGGACGGTTATCGCCATAACTTGAAATGAAATGTTACTGATTCTAACTGCAACCAGTTGTGTCTTCCACAGGACTAAGCCAGCGTCACGGGGCCAGGGTTCAAGTCTGTATTACGAGGACCCAAAGAAACCCTCAAAAGTGATAGGATGGGACGAGGCCAACAATGCCCGACCCCCTCTGAGGGTGGACATGGAGGGTCCTGGACCATGGGCTTACTCTCCCGCTAACAAGCCTCTAGGAGAGACCAACGCTCCCTCTTGGACGTTCAGGGCAAAATGTGCTCCCGAAAAAAGTAAATTTAGCTGTCTGTTAAATTGAAGTTTTTAATGGCTGCATATATCATTAGATGTTCACAACAGTAGTTATTTTATACAGATACTGTATAACACGTCCATTTATTTCCTGCATTTGGGCTCATAATTTTTTCTGTCATGTGTTACAGCGGGAGGTGCACGCACATCCTGGGAAAAACCATGGTTCCAGAGTCCTCATGTTTGGCAGACAAAAACTGACTTCTACAATGACACAAGTGTAAGTATGGTTTCACCGATTTAAACTCATTCATAAGGATGCAGCTTTTCTTCCATGCAATTTAAAATAATAATGATGATGATAATAACCGATGTCTGCTATATAATTTGTCAGTGTTATTTCACTGAATACTTTCATTTTAGAAATTCAATTGGATTTCTGTAAAGTCCTAGTTGTCAGTGAAAAAAGAAACGTTTGCCGATATAAACTATTAAGCTACGTTTCCATTTAATACAACAGGAATGTTGGTCTCATCGGCATGATCTCGCTAGTCCCTTGTATTATCTCAACGATGAAACATCATGTCATGATTTTTAAATGAGTCATTTATCAGATTTGGGTTTGTATTCTTTCAAGGAAAATGAATACAGAAAATAAAAGCTTTGGCCCTCATTTTGTCGCTGCCATTGATCTTTTATGATAGTCAATACTAAAGTAAGGGATAATAATTTGAAAATGCGCTGAAATTAGAAATCTGATTTTCATAGCCTTGACGAATGTTTTTCTAGGTCGGATGATGTATTAAAAATGCTATAACGTCTCTTGTCATGCATTACATCTAGTGGCCGACTCCTAACCTGTACAAACAAAAGTCCTTGTTAGGACCACGACAGAGGACGATGACGGAGGCACCATCCTTCACCATTGGTGTTAGAAAGGAGCTCACTCTACATAAATCTGGTAAATGATACGCATCCCTTTCTTAATCATGTAAAATCATGTATTGACATTCAAAACGGACTACAATGTTACTTTATGGTAAAATAGTTATAGTATGTACCAAAACGTCAACATTGATAGAAAAATGTGGTGACATATTATAAATGAGTATTTGAATGTGGAAACGGAATTCTTTGTCAAACATAAAACATATTTTTAGGGTCATCGAAGGAACCAAGCCCCAACGAGTACGCAAAGGACTCAGCCGACAAACTGGTCCACCAACGCGGACCGTCCTACAGCCATCAGTTCCGTCGCTCAGGCACCGTACTTTGGCCTTCTATAGGTATTTACGTTGCCGTATATTAAACTCTTATTTCACATTCGCCCATATCTGTTTCGATTTCTAAAATGTAATATAACCATGTGTTCCATATCAAAGTTATAAGAATACTGTTTATGTATTCTTCGCCCTATCTCTTTGTATGTTTCTGCATTATAATTTTGTTTTGAATTTGAATTCACGAAATATGGCCATGATACCGTCATATTAGAACCCTCGCATGTACATAAGGATAAGAATGAGTTTTGCATTGTGTTTTTATACAGAGAAAACACCTGGACCTGCGGCTTACACCCCTGCCTATGCCCACAGCAAGACCTCTGGACCTGCCTTTACCATTAGAAGCATCCGACGGGACGCGTCCCACACACTTGGTCCACACTCGGCATTTTAAGAGATTAACATGAGGATTTTATCGCAGAAAAAAGAGAAAAGAATATTTCGTCTTAGAAATAATCAATAATTCTCAACAACTATTTATCTTAGACAGGGAAATCTATGTCGAAAAGGTTTTGGATGAAGCTGGACCAGTTACGCAGGCTATTATTGTCAAATATTTTACTATTGATAGTATGGAAAAGCTTTATTCCATTCACGGACAAAATATTGACAACTCTGCTAAGAGATATTGATGAGTTTTAGCAATATGTTGTTGAGCATGGTGTTGGCAATTTCAGGTGTTGTCTGTGAACAAATTCCAGAGAATAGAGGTATCTGGAGTAAAAACATAAACTGGTATACAGTGTAGTTGTGAAAGTGCTGTTTTATATCATATATATCAAGCATTTAAGCATGTGATTTTAGCGATTATGTTTTTCACCTTATCAGTATTCAAGAAAAAAGTGGTCTTACTTGCTCATTAAGTTTAGGGATACTTTTGAATGTTTGATGTACATTTCTGAAGGTAATGAAAATGTGCAATGCATATAAGATAGTTTTTACGTATAATTTGGTTTTCGTAGGCACGGTAATTATAGAACATAACTCAGACACTATATGATCAATATATAAACGGTCCTTATTACCCGGTATGTCTTTACATGCTCTAGATAATGAAATGTACTTTCATATAGACAAGTGTATTGACATCTGTAGAACTATGTATCAGTACTATGTGTATGGACTTTTAATATGCTATTATCCTTAGATTGTACCACGTCAAGCACTGCCATGATATATTGTTTAACCAAACTTAACCCTGAGTATCCTAACACCATAACGTCAAGGTATTGTCTGAAATTTGTTTCTGGAAGAATTTTCAGTAAAGGTTAACGCTGTTATGCATAGATATTTTTTGATCAGCATATCATTGTCTCTAAGGTATTGTTTCGTTTTACATAGTATATTTCATATCTTATCCAAAAAAATCATAAATAACAATAATAAGGTCCTTGAAGATGCGAAATAATCTTCATGAAAATATTAATATAATATCTTGACGCATTTAAAAACTTGGCATCTTAAGGTTTTATGAAATATGAACTGACGCATTTCGATATAGTATCAGAAGCACCATAACGTACCTGGATATCAACAGTCAATGAAAAACTTTGTAAAAAAAGTTTTTAAAATTTCGTCGTAGATTTTTAATCTTTAAACACGTAATATAGGTTTTTGTTTTTCATCTTTAATTGAAAATAAAGATATTGAATATTAATTCAAGATAATGACTTGAAATGTAACATTAATTACTTGGCAGATGATCAAATCTGTCTGTATCATCTCTACTCTGTACAATGCTTCCTAACATTATTGGTGTATTTGTATATCCAGATTGACATATTTTAGTTACAGATGTGGTATTCTGCCATCTAGATTCTAGTGTATATATGTAAACTTCTCATTTTTGATGGATACTTCACGTATAGATATCGTTTCTATATACGATATATAATGAATAAAATGGTCATTGATCATTTTAATGAAACACACTGTACAATATTTTTCCTTCTTAAAATATAGTAATTTAGATGCAAGAAATGAATAATTATTTATAGAAGTGCTGATTCTTATGTTGGGTATTTTTTTCTGTGTATTCCAGGTTGATTGAGTCAAATGAGGTCACAAGTACTTTATTAATCAGGTTAAAACCATGTGTATGTTTTCGTAAAATATTTCAGTGAAATAACATTGATTTGCAAACATAGATTTTTTTACAATAGGACAGGAACAGGCTGTGGTTGTGATTGCAAATTCTAAAATTTCGTGTACACATTTATACTAATTAATGAATCAAAGTATACCAAAAGACACTTTTTGAACATTCGTTTTCCCGCGAAACCTTTTGAGGGAACTGGTGTATCATTGGACTTAATAATATTAAATGTCTCCGCGTTTACTATATAAATCACTTTTGTACTCTGAACTAGACATAATATATTTAATCTGCTTTGTTTTTTGTTTTAATATCATGTTGAGTGTTTGTTAATGTTATAACTACAGATCTGAATTAATTTCTAACTTATCTCTTTATATCCTGCTACCGTATTCTTTCAAACCCATGTACACTTATATACACATACATGCGTTGGTATATAAGGTATATTTTTATTGTTTTGTTTTATTGAAGTTTTTTTTTATTTCTATACTATTGTATTGTAAAAGTTTTTATTGTGTAAAGTAGTATGTGACATTCATAGAAATCAAATCTATTTTTGTATGACGAGTCCAAATAAAATCTGTGATATCAAAGTCTGTTATTGGTTTGTTGTTCCATCAAAGTCACTGACGAATATAACGTGATCTTCTGAGATATTTTGATAAAGATTTTTGCCAATAATTTTATACGCCACAAGATTCAGGAATTAAACGATCCCACAGATATAACTGTCATAACGAATCTCCCATATTGGTGCTATATCATCATCATCATCATCATCATCATCATCATCATCATCATCATCATCATCATCATCACAGATTATACCACACGTGTTACATGCAATATCTATTGTGTAGCACTTGTATCCGGTCCTTTGTTTCAGTGTTGTATATAATTATCCATAACATGATCTCCGAGCGTAAAGCTTAACAGATGACTATACTAGCAATAAAGTAGTGTAATAAACAGCAGGTCTGTGAAACTTCCTTGTTTGAAGATTCCTGTTTAATAACATATAATGAAATCCACTGTGAAATAGTAATGACATATCTTAAGATTGACTAATTACTACACGTGTATATGTTTACGTGATTAACCTCAATGTTATTGTTATATTACTGTAGTCACCGGGGAAGACACTAAACAACTGATATTACTCATCATTAGAGTATCCCCATTGTTTCCTGTACAGATTAAGATTTAAAACAAATACAGCCTGCATTGTTTTAAAGCATAAATGAAAATATAGACAACTGTGATTAAATGTAAATGGATCTTTTAGCATGCTGCTGCTATGTAATTGGTTGGAAGCTGAATTAATGAATGGTCAGTATTATATAGTATTTCTGTTGTTATTCTATAACAGACTAAATCGTATTTTCATAGTACAGAACACTGCCGTCAGGATGCTATTGCTTAAAGAGAAAACATTTTTAATTGCATTTTCACATATTTGTAAATTCAGTCTTCAACATTACTACGTGAGTTTAGCAGTATTCCAAATCCGAAATCAATAACACACGAACTGCTCCCGCACACTAGAAAAGTAACATCCCCTCGCACAAAGCTCTCTTGTCAATAATTAAGGCTATTGCGATTGGGTCTATAAGGCTATGTTATTTTGTAAACAGAACTGGTATGAGCAGCTGATATCGTGATTCAAGCGTAGGGAGATCAACCAATCTAAAGGATTATATATCAGGAGGTGCGCTGTATATAGGACAAAGCGACCTTTACGTTCACAATAGAGTGTAGATGATGACGGAGGAGACAAAAACACGGTTCCCAGGAGAGGTGGACGAGGTTCACCCCGCCCCCTTTCTAACCATTCCACCACAGCCTACAGAGAAGAAGCCCGGTCAGCTGACTGAGGCACAGGTCAAACAGTTTTTCGAGGAGGTATGATACTACACAACATGTAAACGGTGTACTGTTATACACACGTGCAATCTGTTTCTCATTCATGTCTAGAATACATTTTGCATCATTATCTCTAGTCTAAATTACTTGTGTCGTCTGCTGTATGGCAGATATATAAACGTTGTTATCGGATAAATACAGATATTTAAATTTATTTAACCTGGTTGTATTTTATGTGATAACATAAATTCTGTGCGCTTGCATAATGTGGACAATCAACATGTACAACTGAAATAGAATACTGACTGAATCATATATGTAGAATGTGTTTTTGTTCCTGTATACTAGGACGTTGGTAGGCTTCAGATCATTTGTAATTAAACGCACACAGATAAGACTGCCTTTATTAATAAAAGGTTAAATATTGCTGAGAATTGTTCGTCTTCTATCATTCAGATCTCTTGGATATATGCTCCTATGAAAAGTAAGAAGGATATATTAGATTATTTTGAAGACAGGTAATTTTATACCAGAAACATATTATCTTGTGTACCGGACATATATCATCTTATTTACCATAAAATGTTATGTTTTACGTCAGAAACATTATCTTGTTTACTAGAAACAAATCATTATGAGAACCATAAATATCATATTCTGTGATAGAAACCAGAAATTTGCTCTTTTGGATAACTCAGTATATGTTTAACCAGGCAACTCAGGTGTTTCGAAAATTTCCTTGATATGCCTAGAAAACCGTCCGTTTTACATTAAAATTGTACTACATTACACCCTCTATAGCACTTTCTGTAAGGCATATGCGACAAGAACACATAATGATAGGGGACAGAGTTATACATCCAACAAATTACTGATATGAGGTAACTTAATAGAGATTATGTGCAAGCAGGATGTAATTTAGCAAGTTATTTATATCAGAACGCCAGTATAAATCTTTTGCTTAAACTGACTGAGAGACTAAGAATAGAAATAGCGGAAATCCTTTAGTAACCACTTGACCTCCCAACTGCTTTGTGTTTATGCTAATGACTATAATGCGAATTTGTCACAGGGGTATGTGGTTGTCAATAAGTTCTTTGACACGAAGACGGAACTGGATCCGTGTCGAGATGCTATATCTGTTATGGTAAATGAGCTGGCCGACAAGCTATATGATGCAGGCAAAATCAAAGGTACTCTACAACAAAATTCGTGATTTGATGATTTTTTAAGACGAGCAAAGGTTTTCAAGGTATTTTCATATTATGGATTTAGAAATTGATAAATATTTGAAAGTCTCGTCAAATTGATTTTTCCCCTTAATTACTAGATAACGTCTAGTTTATAACATTTCAATGTCATCTTATGTTAATTTTATTTCGTATTTGTTCATTTCCTTATTGTATTCGACAGATAAATATGAAGAATACGGCCTGTTCCAGAGACTGACACAACTAGAGAAGGAACATCCGGGATCAAACATTCTCTTATTCAAATCACAGAAAATGCCAAAAGTATGAAAAAATAATGCTGTTTGCTGATCATCATAATAAATAATTGCACTGTGCTTTCTCAAAACAATTTCCTTGAGAAATACACACTTGATATGTAAATTTCCCTTTGCCAATATTTGTGCCATTTTGATTGGTCAGAAAAACAAATGGCTGACTGGCGGCCATCTTTGATTTGACATTTTATTGCTATTTCTTAGAGAAAATCTTAAATGTCATATATTTAGCAGCAAATAAGAGAAAAAATAGTAATAAAAATGGCGGGGGTTGGGGGGGGATTCCAGCTTTCCAAAAATAAAGATTAAACGATGATGGAAACAATATGTAACGGCTTGTATGAGATAAAACCACTAACAGTACTGTCATATATCGATTTTATCGACAGGCCTTCTGTGATGTTTGGAGCAATGAAAGGATGCTTAACGTTGTGGAACAGTTACTTGGACCAGACATTGCCGGACACCCTGTGTGGAACTTGCGGACAAAGACACCGAAGAGTGACGCAGTCAGCATTCCTTGGCATCAAGGTAAATATGAAATCAACCTGAAGTCGAATTCCCGAGATGAATATGTTTCAACGTAAAATGGAATCTCCCTAATGCCGATTTCTGAAAATTGATGCCGTATTGTGCAGACTTTGAAATTTATTGGTTATGTTTCAAGGTAAAATGGAATCTTCGTAAAGTCGAATTCCTAGATTTGAAGCTGTTACAGATTTCTGTTTTCAGATAGTGCCTATTTCAGTAACGAGTCATACGACCATATGATAGTTACCGCATGGGTGCCTTTCTTGGATGCCATACCTGAAAATGGATGCATGCAGGTAGGAACTGATTATTCTTCAACCAATTTTTTTATGAAATAAAGTTTTGAAGTTTTGTTTTTATATTTTTTGTTTATACAGTTAAGGACAATTAAGATAAGGGAGATACAGGATTACAGGAATCTATGCATTATATATATATATATATATATATATATATGTGTGTGTGTGTGTGTGTGTGTGTGAGAGAGAGAGAGAGAGAGAGAGAGAGAGAGAGAGAGAGAGAGAGAGAGTGTGTGTGTGTGCGCGCATGTGTGTGTGTGTCAATGTGTGTGCGTGCGTGCGTGTGCGTGTGCGTGTGCGTGTGAAGTATACGTTTCCGTAGTGGAAAAACCGTTTCAGATTGTGAGCGTACATGTTTTGTATTGAGGGTAGAAAGTTATTACTTTAACCCATATGCATAGATTGATGATATAGTATGTTGTGAATGTGCCCTATTGTGTTTGTTGTATATTGTAACTTGTGCATGGTGTCGTGTTTATGATAAAAGACAAAACTTCCCTTGACAATTTGAAACTCAATACACGTTGTATAGGTGGTGAAAAATGGACACAGAAAGGGAAAGGTTGCAAGCCATACGTGCTGCCGTGGTCCTACATGGTATGTGATGCTGGAGGAGGAGGAGATGGAGAAATCATTGGGTAAGTTGATCAGTTAGCATAAAAAAATATGTATATATAAAATATTTCTCTCATGATGAAATTATCATGAAGAATTATTATTTATCATTCCTTAAGGACCTTCTTTTCCCGTCCTTTTATTTGTCATTCTTCCCTTTTCTTTTCCTTTTCTTTCTCTCTAAAAACATTGCAAAGCACTTTCTTACTTTTCAACTTTTGAAATAATGTATTTTCTTTGTTTTATTAACCTGCTTAAGAGTATAAGTGTATACTATTTAGTTATCAAGATAAATGAAGCTTCAAACATTTAGAAAGAATGATAAAGAAATATTATTTCTCATGTATTTAAAAATGGAATATCAAAAACATGATTTTTGTACTGCTGTAAAAATTTTAGAAAAAAAAACTTATCGAAGGAAATATAACTTAGTTTAAGTTAGCATATAAAAATGTTTGGGATGGGGGTGGGGTGGGGTTAGGGTGGGGTTGGGGGTGGGGGGTTGAAGGTGTAGAACTGTAGTACTGACTTAGGGACGAATGGCCTCCCAGAGCATGCTTATGTTAATGAAGGGCAATCAAGTGTAGTATTTAGATATATGGTATTTATTGATTCTACGGCTGAATTTTACCTGTGTGTACAAATAGATATTGACATGAAGAGAGACCTGGAAACGTGCCCTGTAGAATACGGAGGTTTCCTGCTGTTCCACAACCTTACCCCCCACAGAAGGTATGTAATATTCTGATCACACGGTGACAACCTAACCCTCCACAGGAGGTACGTTTTGTCCAGATGACGAAAAATAAATCCTCGAGATAAGAGCTGAGTCACGAGCCCTATTGTACTTTTTCTGTTATCAACATAATTACAAAATATGTCTGTTGCCTTGGTTAAAGAGTTCACAAGCAACAGTCACAACATATTGATTTTTACATAATTTTAACATGTAACACCGACGTCAAACTCTAAACCTATAATGAATGTTATGACGACACGAACTGATGTGATGTGATACCTTTGGTATTACTGAATCCATTCATTCCCTTTTCCATCGTAACTTTTTTTAAACAAAACAATATTAACGTTGTTACTCGGAAACACTGTCTTCACCTGTTATTCTACCTGTTTAATACATTTATGTATAGACGTATGTCGGGTTTCGTATGTAGGTTAAAGGTCATGCAGAGCTGTTAACACAGTGTTTCTGACGGAAATGTCATGCATATCAACGGTCTGGCGGCCAGGGGATAAGACCAAGATGTCCAAACAATTTTATACTGCTTTAGAAGGGAACAACCAATTCTATTTATTTATTTCAAATTTTACGAATTCTTCAAACAAGCAAAATTAAATAAATAAAAAACAAAAAAACAAAACAAAACAAAAAACAAAACAAAACAAAACAAAACAAAAAAAAACCAACTTGTCAACATAATATAATCTAATATATTATAATCTAAACTCAAATTCAATAGATCTTGAGAAAATTATGAGTAAAAGAAAGATTTACATGTAGATTACTGTAACTGTACAAGGACCAGGTGTTCCGAAGGTGCAAGCGTTTTTTACTTCATCAATGTCACCCACCGTGTAAATCCAAGAAAGTAATGTCACGTTCTGAAATGAGAACAAGGCATCAAGATAAACATTTTCTTCGAAATATTTTTATTTTTGCTGAACAAGCTTTTAATTATCACATTATCCTGAGTATTTCTCTAAATTTACTTAATTCTCTCTTGATAACATGAGAAACAAAGGCTCATTGCCCATTATTGTGATAAACTGACAAACATCTACGCGAAAAGGCTATAATAAACACATAACATTATATATGTTTTAAATTCTATTGCCAGTGTGATAAGATTTTAGAGGGATTGAATGAGTTCATCGAAGTAAAATTACATCGACTTATATCGCACAGCCCCTTAATGAAAAGTAAACATTGTGCCGACACCATAAAACAGCGAGAAATAGTGTGTTAACCTTATTCAGCTTATAAATACGAAGTCACATTTATTCTAGTAGCAATAACACTAATGCTTCCTTGAAAGAATGATCACACCATTCATTCTATATATTTTATTCTATATGAAGTTTAGAGAATATGTCGACTGACATCCGTTGGAGTTGTGACTTCCGATGGCAGTCTCCGCACGAACACTGGGGATTTTACGGACTAGGAGAGGGAGTTCCAATGCGGTCTGCCGAAAATCCAAACATGAAGGCAGACTTTAAGAAGTTTTTCTCGTTTGACAGAAAAGAACAATGGCAGAAACGTTACTACAGACAGGTACCTACTGTAAATGGAATTTAAAGCAACCGACATTTCATATTAGTTTATTTTTATACCAGTTACTGAATTTTACTCTTTGTAAATATTATATTGTATTCTTTAATATACTATATTAACTTCATAACACAGTGTGAATTTGTGTACGTTTAAATGTTAACCATTTGTTTCCAGGACGATGTCAATGATCCCTTTGATACCACAATCACTGGTCCGTGGATTGGACGTTGGGAAATAGTCAACCACAACAAACACACGGAGGCCTTTAAACCCTTCATGTGAACTGTTCCAAAAAAACTGTGATCTACTCGGAAGATTTACTCAGAAATCAAAATAATTTCATTATTATTTTTATTATCACATCGATAAAGTCGAGCAGACAATGAAATGACCAAACTAAATCATGAGTGTATATAATTAGAACATTGATCTAACACATTTTATCAAGCCTGCCACCAGTGGTATTGAACTCGTCAAAATCCATACCAACAATTCAATTCATTTGAATTCAAATTCTCAAGACTGCGATCCGATATTGTAAAACTGAAATTGAAACGCATTGTTCTATTGCGCGAGCGAACCACTGCTATATCATTGCATAAACATTTCCTGAATGTTTTAATTGTTACGTTTTACACAAGATAAAGATATATCACAACAATATATTTTGTGTAATTTTTACGAACACTTGCTAGTACAGCAAGGACATATATGTAAGGGAGACAATAGGACCAGAAAGGTTATCTCATGAAAACTGGTTGTCTTATTTACGCAATGCAATAGACATTGATCATCCTGCCACCATTTGTGTATTTATATACCTGATTAACAAACTTCATAATGACAACTTTCATTTTAAGTAAGGTTAAAGGTCAATAGCGACGTATAGATTTGAATAGTTCTGAAACTGTCAAGAAATAACTACCAAACAAAAATCATGGTTGAAAACATTCCATCAATATATATATGTACATTGACAACAGTAAAACATATGTACGTGAATTTGAAATAATGTTATAGAAAACACACCGACTATTATGAAAGTAAAAAATACTTCGTTGCTTAAACACGTTTGTAATGTTGAAATATCGACATTATACAAAATGTCCAAAAAGTGATCGAGAAAGACCACATATTCGTCTTTAGAAATGCTCTTGATGTCACAGATCTGATAAGGTAAGTCAATGCAAGGTTGTCTTGTAATGTTATGTATTGCTGTGAGGAGCATTGGATAGAGTTAAAGTGGCAATATTTTCATATTTCAAATTAGATTGGGCATAAAAACATTCTAATTCAAATGTATAGTTCCAGCTTGCCCAACGTCAAATCATTTGTACAAAATAGACTAACTAGAAGCTATGTCATAGCTTACGAAAATGTAACATATTATAAATATGTATTATGACATATACATGTACAAGTGTTAATTTGAGGCATTTTACACAGTCAAGATTTACTGTAAGTGTTATGAAGGTTAAGTGAAAGTTGAACATTAACCTTTTATTGAAGTGGTCTTAGATTTAGAGAAGAAGGATTGATGGTCATCAATAGTTTCATTCTGTTTGAACTAATTTATCATAGAGGGCAATTCGATTGTTTTGATGTGCGTAATTGATAAATGACAATATTAAGCAACACAATGTAGATTGAGAACAAGGTCAAAAAAAGAAAACAAAACAGTGTTTGAGGGAACATGGAAAACAGGCCTGTCTGAAAAAACTTCCCAAGGGCAATTAGAAAGCAAATAAATCATACGATCCTGATAAACACGAGTAATCCAAACTCTAACATATGTCCTGTTTACCTACATCCATTTCCCAAATAATTTACGCAGACAATAATACTTATATCCTATTTAAAAAGTTGAATTGAACCATTGACAGGGAAATGCTTAATATATATAAATTGACCAAATGATATCCCACTTTTTCAGATACATAGTTCAAACTGTCACTGAACACTTGTGTTTTTCTATGGTGTTATTTTACTGTTTTCTTAAAAGAAGAGATGTATGTCTGACATTCATAGCTTCTATATTTAGCTATTTGTAGTGAAAAAATGATGAAATATATGGCAGATTATAAACAGACTTTCGGGAAAACCGCCAGGAATTACATGTTTCTCATCAAAGACTGAAAAACACAATGTTTTTGCCTTGTTTCATTGACATTTCCGTGCAGTGATGACAGTGAAATAAAGTTAATCGATCCTGAAATCAAAAGCCGCTGAAATAAATAAAAAATGGAAATGATATCAACTTAAGCTTACATTACTCTATTTATCTACTTACAAGGTTTGAAATCGAGATGCAATGAACTAGGTTCCATATCAGTATTTCATAAGTTAATACGTCACAACAGACATTAAATAATCACCCCTCCTTAAGATGAACAGCATAATCTTAGTTTGTAAGCATTACTAAATTTGTCTGTTAGCCTCCAGTACTCTTCCTATCTCCGTTAATATTTTTAGTGTTATTTGGTATTGTCAAAATAGAACTTGAATGACATGTTAAAACCATTTATGAGATTTTCTATTATTACATAATTCTAGTTTGTCCAGTTGTTAAGAAAAACATTCAGATACGTAAAAGAGGAAAAGCATTTAAGAAGAAAACTTCAAACTCCAGCGATCTTAACTAAGTCTTTAATTTTACTTTTTTTAAAAACCATGTTTAATTATTTTAAAATAACAAATGGAAGCTAATTGTGTGAAAGGATCGCACAGTTTTATGTGGTAAGGTAAAAATGTTGATATATAATACGGATTGAAAATAAAACGAAAACCTCGCAAGTCTATCACTAAATAGCAACAATAAATACGGACAATAGGTGTGTTACATGTTGATCAGTGATAATAAAGGTCATGTTAACTTGACAGTTATCGAAATACAACCGACCTCCGCGTTAATTGCATGTAGCCTCACAACTCTGACATTGGCGAGTGGCGTAACCTGATCATCAAACAATATCAGTAATCAGATATATCATATTATGTGACAGGTCCGTACCGGTTGTATTTTTTAAAAAGAAAATTATAGATAAATAAGAAGGAATATAAAAAATCCTTCCTGACGGTAAAAGATGTATTTAGATAATACAAAAGAGACGTTTTGCACTTAATGTTTACATATAAAAAATATATAGTGGGCGTTTGTAAACCGTGTCACATGTGGCACATTGTAAGCAAATCACTCTTAATTACGATTGTACGTAAACATTCAATCTGTACCTAATAGATCTACATGTGCGCGACCTCTACATTTATGTTTCAATTAGGAACTCTATAAAGCTATACGCTTATGTATTTAACAAATAGATTAACTTTATCTAACATTTTCATAAGTCGTGCGATTAATCTTACATCGTACACAAAGGATGTGCCTTAGCAAATTTCATTAAGTTTCCATATCGCGCCTACACTGTGCATAAAAGCGCACATCGCTTTTCGTGCAGAATTTAGAAATGACCTATGAATTATTGTTGAAAATAGGAGCAGTTTGTCTTGAAAACTTGACTATTTATATATGATTTACCAGGAAACTAAAAAAATATGAAAAGGAGTATAATACCAGGTGTTTCCTATGAGTAAGCATCTTCTGCTTCATCGATTACACATGTCATTTAAATTTTGGTCATTTCAAGTAATTATACGACGTTCCCAAAGAAGAGTGTTCCCTTAAACAACGGAACCAACAGGCAAATTAATGAGTATCAAACCAATGTTTCATATCGCACAAAATTAATTTCTTATTGTGATCACCATGACGATCATTAACAACTCTCCCTGATTTTCATCAACCTTCATTTCTTGAAACCATATTTTGTGAATTTGTCTGTCAGCTGTTGACATCGTGCATGAAAAGCATGACATTATGACATTGGGACAGGTCCTTGAATATCGAATCAATTGCGACATGGAAACACCACAGGTTTGGGCTGCAGAGATATTGCTATCCAGAAATGCAAAATTCATAATACAAAAATTGAAATAATCATGCTTATCATACAGCTTGGTTGGAAGCTATTCATATTGAAGGAAGGGATCGATCGGACGACTTATGTAGAAGAGTCTGTTGTGTCGTTGATTTCAGTTCTGGGGGATATATACGATGAACATGGTCAACAAAGTTCTTGTTATTGAAAGTCACAGCGTCATTAATATAAAGGTATTGTATTGTATGAAAGCAAAAGCAAGTTAGCCAAAAGGAGGGCAGAGTTTATCACAGGCATGTCAATAATCTATTTGAAGATCTTGCCACCAAACTCCATGAAGATGTTTTCAACAAGAATCTTGATCATTCGTATGATTTCGTCCACCGTATGTTTCGTCTTTGATCTGGACGTAATTTTATAAGAAATACGCTTCTGTATAGTTCACAACCATATATGTAAACTACTACAACAGGATTAACATATATAAAGAAAAAGTCATTAATGGCTTCAGAAGTAAAAATCCAAAATTGATGGCAACAAGTGAGATTTGCTATCTTCAGTTATACTTTATTTTCTGTTCCGTACAAAGGTGGTGGACATATGTAAAAAGTTGTATCAAGTTTTATGACACTGTCTAATGTTGGTGTGAATATCGTTAAACAAGAAGAGCATAAAGTTGGCATTTATCGACGGGAACATATGTATCCGTTCCCGAAGTAGATCAGACTTATCAACGATTTGTGGTATATCATCACAAGCCATCGTATTAAACTGAAGGAGTGTCAAATTCGTGTACTAATTACGCTCTGACGGTAATATCTGTTTATTTTATTAGATGATTGGATGTCAAAGTGAAAACATGTATCAAATTGACAATTCAGCAGCGAATGGAATCTTTGGAAACGGTGGACGTCAGAAATCTCTTGCAAATGTTTTTACATTTCAAGAAATATTCGAATACACATATCTTGGAGATTGTAACGTAATTTGACGAGAGACCAAGGCTGGGATAAACCTCCATTACATCCGTCGATTTTTCAAAGCTTTCACAATTTATTTTATGTAACTATCATTATACATTTCAAGTAAATTATCTTTTTTGATTGATTCTACTGACAAGACTTGTTCTGTAATAGCATTTGCTTACTATGATATTATACAATGAAATTAAGTTATTGCGTCATTGATATGTCAATGGTATAGAAACACCATGCCAATGTCATGGATACACAGACACGTCCATACAACAACAGAAAAGACAATCAGATGATGTGTGTGTTTTACACCAGCAATCATTTTATTAAATTTTGACATCTTTGATAAAATCTATTTACAATTAAATAAAAAACATTATATGAACCTCATACATTTTTTGCGGTCAAATAAACAAATTATGTCCCCTGTTCGTTATTTCATCCTTTCCAGTGGCAGCATATGCAGGTTTGTCCTAGTGGATTCACCATCCTGGTCTTCTGCAACGCCTAATACACCTGCGGTATTGTCTCCAGCACCGTCTCCAGGACGAATTAAACATACAGCGCCTGAACTGTCTGCGGCATCTGCTCCAACACCACCATCCTCCTCCTCCTCCTCCTATATAACCTTGGGCGTCCGCTTCCTCCGGCATCAACGCCAACAACAATACAGAGGCCATAATGGCGACGAAAAATATGGTGTTTTTCTTCATTGTTGTCAATTAT